ACCTTTTGGAACTGTTTTTTTTTTTTTTTCTCACTGAATGTAAATCCCTGGAGACTCATTCAGATTGTTTCATTTTTATTGCTGAATATGCACGGTCATCCACCACATAACATTTTGTTCAGCAATGGACCACATATACAATGGTAGTCCCATAAGATTATATTTGTGCATTTTAACTGTGCTTTTTCTCTCTTTAGTTATGTTTAATTACACAAATATTTACCACTGTGTTGCAGTTGCCTGCAGTATTCAGTACAGTAACATGCTGTATAGATTTGTAGCCTAGAAACAATAGGCTAAACCATAGGGACTAGATTGTAGTAGGCTAGCCCATCTAGGTTTGTGTAGGTACACTCTGATGTTTGGACAAAAACAAAATCACCCAACAATGCATTTCTCAGAATAGATACCCATCGTTAAGTGATGCATAACTGTATTTATGACTGTACCACAGTTTATCTCACCATTTATCTGTTGAAGGACATCTGGACTGTTTCCAGTTTTTTATTATTATGAATAAAGCTGTGATGAGTATTTGTACACAGAGTATTTGTGAACATGAGTATTTAATTTTCTGTGATAAATGCCCAAGTGTGTGACTGCTGGTTTGTATGATAATTGCATTTAGTTTTATAAAAAACTGCCAAGCTCTATTTTTTACAGTGGCTATACCATGTTATATTCCCACCAGCAATGTATGAGTGATCTAGTCTCTCTGCATTTATGCTGGCAGTTAGTGGCATTACTATTTTTTATTTTAGCCATTCTGATTGGTGTATAATGATATTCCATTATGGTTCTAATTCGCGTTTCTCTGATGGCTAATGAGCAACTTTTTATGTGCCTTTGTCATCTGCATATCCTCTTATTTGAAATGTCTGCTCATGTATTTTATCCGTTTTCTAATTGGATTTTTTTTTACTATTGAATTTTGAGAGGTTCTGATATATTTTAGATACTAGTCCTTTATTGGATTCGTGGCTTGCAAATATTTTCTCCCAGTCTGTAGGTTGTCTTTTCATCTTTTTCCCATGGGCTTTCATAGAGTGAGAGTTTTTAATTTTGATGAGATCCAATTTATCAATTTTTCCTTTAATGAATCATGCTTTTGAAGTCAAGTCTAAGAATTTTTTTCCTAGTTCAGGATCCAGAATATTTTTCCCCATGCATTTTCCCAAAAGCTTCATAGTTTTACATGTTATGTTGAGGTCCATGACCTATTTCAAGTTAATTTTTGTACGTAATACGTGGTTTAGGTTTATTTATTTGTTTTTGTCTATTGATCTTCAATTATTCTAGCACCACTTGTTGAAGAAGCCATGCTTCCTCCATTGAATTACTTTTGCACCTTTATGAAAAGTCAATTGTATATATTTGTATGGTTCTATTTCTGGGTTTTCTTTTCTGTTTCACTGAACTATGCGTCTATCCATCCACTAGTACCACACTCTCTTGACTACTATAATATATAATAAGTCTTAAAATCAGGTAGACTTACTCCTTTCACTTTATTCTTCTTTGCCAAGATTGCTTTAGCTATTCTAGGGACTGTGTCTTTCCACTTGAATTTCAGAATAACCTTGTCTATGTCTATAAAATCCTTGCTGAAGTTTCAATAGTCATTGCATTAAATTTATGGGTCAGTTTGGGGAGAAGCAACATCTTTACCATGTTGAATATTTATTATGAGCAGCATATGCTCTCTATTTAGGTCTTTAATTAATAAGCATTGTGCAATTTTTAGCATACAAGTGCTCTGTGCAAGTTTTGTTGAGTTTATATCTTTTTTTTTTTTTGGAGCAGTTGTAAATGGTACCATTTTAAATTTCATTTTCCACAAATTCATTGTAGTATATAGAAATGAAATTAACTTTTGTTTTTTGGTCTTGTTTCCTGAAGCTTCCTGAACCCACTTAGTGCTGAACAGTTATAGGAGTTATTTTTAATGGATACTCTGGAGTTTTTATATAGATAATTGTGTCATTTATAAATAGACAAAATTTTATTTCTTCTTTTCTATTTAATATGCCTTTTGTTTCTTTTTCTTGCCTTATTGCAATAGCTAGAACCTCTAGCACTATACTGAGTGAGAGTGGATATCCATGCCTTATTCCTGAGCTTTGTGGGGGAAGAATTCCATTTGTCACCTTTAAGTATGATGTTAGCAGAAAGTCACCTCCATTTTCTAAAGACTACTGAATAACCTTACAATTCCAATGTAAGATTGTACTATAATTCACTTTTCAGGTTCTTTATCAATGAGTTTTTGTTGCTTTCAATCTTTGGCACAATAACACTTTTATGCATGTGCTCATACACCTGTCACTTTTCATATGTTCATGAATATATGGATAAGATAAATTCCTAGAATATGGCCCTCTTTTCTGTTCTGTCTAGACCCACTTCCTAGGTGATCTTTCTCTGCTGTGTGGTTTTAAATACCATACAATGACAACTCCCAAATATGCGTTCTCACTCTGATTTCTGCCCTGAATCCAGATCTGTGTATTCATTTTTCTCATGTAGTATCTCCATTTGGACATCTAACATGCTTTCAAGGTCAACATATCTAAAACTGAACTCCTAATTTGCCTGTATCCATCCCTTAAAACCTGTTTCTTTGAAGCTCTCCCTATTTTAGTAAATAGCATTCTGCCCTTCCAGTGGCTCAGGCCAAAAACCTTGTGGTCATCCCTACTGCCTCTGTTTCTCTCACACACACCCAAACTTTCAGCAAATCTTGTCCTATGATTACTTATCCCCACTCCATGGCTACCACTCTGGTCCAACCACCCTCCTATCTTCCTTGGATTATTGAGTTGCCTCCTAGTCTCTCTCCTGTATTGCTTCCTTACAGTCTGTTCCATACAAGAGCTCACACTGGTTCTCTAAGAACTAATTTCTAGGCTTAGACCTTCCCAAAGGCGTCCCATTTTCCACAGAGTGAAAATAAAGGTTTGTACTCTGGCCTGGCGGGTTCTATATAATTTGACCTGTGATTCCTGCCTGCTCTGGATCCTGCAGCTCTTTGAGCTCCTGCTTTGCTTACTTTGCTCTGGCTATGTTGACCTCATTTATCTTCCTTAAAATGCAAGTACTCTATGATCTCAAAATACATACCATCCCCATGACTGGCATACTCTTTCCCCAGGTATACATATAGCTCATGTCCTCATTTCCTTCAGGCATTTGCTCAGTTTTTACTTGATCAGAGGGGTCTTCCCTGCATACCCTCATCCCACTTTGGAATTCTTCCTTCCAAATTAACCTGATTTGTTTTTCTGCATGTGACTTAGCATCACCTGAAATATTATGTATTCTCTTGTTTATCTGTTTATTGCAGACCTTTTCCCCAATAGAATGTAAGTACTATGGGTGAGGCTTTGTTGGTTTTGTTAGGGGGCTATTTTCAGCACCTCCAACAGTGCTCAATAAATGTTTGTTGGATGAGTTAGTAAGTAAACTTCTGAGTCAAATGGTATGTGCATTTAATATGTGATAGATATTGCAAATTACACTACACAAAGGTTGTACTAATACTATACTAATACTTACCCTCCCATTGATAACATACGAGAACCCTTTCTTTTTTGTACATATGTCATTAATAGTTCATCTTGAGACTCTTAGCTTTGTACTATAACATTCAGAGACATGATGGATTCAACCTCCACACATTTACCAAGCCTCCAGGACAAATCTCAAAACATTTCGTATGGTTCTGGTTGTTTTAACAACAAGACAACTGAAATAACTGAGCTCTCAAGGTTTGCGTTTTCATATAATTTCACAGAGAAGAAGAATCTGGCAGAGCGTTCATAGCTTCTGTGTTTTGTTTACATGGAAATGTGAACAGAGGTAACCTTATCTTTCTATTAGATTTGCCCTCAAATCCCAACCCAGATAGCACAGGAGAGCCCACTTCCTGGTGACTTTTTGTTTGTTTTTTTTTTTTTTTAGAAACAAGAACACTTCTCTTTACCCAGCAAAGTGCCTCCTCCAAGGTCCCAGAACCATTGAGGGTGTTTGGGGGGTTGTGGGGCTGGGAGTAGAGATTGCATGAATGAAGACTGGACCACTCCCAGGACTAGACCAGAGAACAGGAGACTTGCTACTGACTGACTATTGTATTCCTACTACTGGACCTCTAGTAGGTGCTAGGTATGTAGTTCTTGAGTATTAATTTAATATCTGACTGTTACTGATAAGAACAGTCCTGAATATTAGTATATTGCTTTACAATCCTTAAAGTGGCTTTCCGTGATTCCCAAACAGCACTCATCTCTTGAGCAGAGACCCAAGAGGTAGGACAGGAAGACTGGAAGTGAGATTTGGCCCTGGTCATATTTTCCAAAGTGAGTAACTTGGAATATCAATATATTAAACAGGTTTCTTAGCAGCAGAAGGTTTCTTAAAGCCTCTGCACAGATTCTAGGTTGCAAATGTGCTTTGTGAATAGCTAAGAGAAAATAAAGCGTGTGGTGTTTGCCAACCTATTTGAACCAGTCTTTTATTTTCTAAAGTGTATCGTGGGCCTGGGGTTCCAGGGAATAGGCTTTCAGGAAGACTGGGCATTTCTGTCCAGGGTACGCACTTGAAGACAGATGATCTCTTATTCCAGTCCTGACTCTTTTCTATGGTTTCATTTCAGAGTTTTCATCTTAAGAGAGAAAACTGACACTCTCCTTTGATTTTCAGGATAAAGTGTATAGGACCATCCCTAGAAGGCCCCTGATTCATTTAGGCCATTTGGAGCAGAGCAGTGAAACATCTCCGCAAGGTCTGAGTTACTCAGTTCTATGGGTTGTTTGATCTTCTAATTAGCTGTCCTTCTTAATTCATTTTTCACTGGTTGGCACATCTGGCTAAGATGCATGTTTGGTAGAACCTATTCAGGTGAGATCAGCAGAAACAGGGAGGCGCTGAAAGTCGTTAATGAAACCCTGGGTTCTTCACTTTACACTCATTTTCTTCTCATCCAATTTTCTTGTTACAGGTGCTGACACCAGGACAATAATATAAGTTGACACAGATATGGGGCTGCCACTGAGGAGAGAGAAGACTGAAAGAAGCACATAGATAAAAGGTAGATAGGTTCTGAGGATGAGGGCTAATTTTCAGCTGGCAGAATCAGGGGCTGCTTCAAGGAGGAGGTGGCCACTGATATAAACTGTCGTTTTGGGAGGAGTTAAAATTAATAGTTGTTATTTAGGCAATTTGACTATTAAAAAATTTAAATGTACATATCCTATTGCATGATTCCATAGCAACTACACTTCTAGGAATTATTATGTGAAAGTACTCACACGAGAATAAAAATGTATATTTATCAATAGTGAATTATGATATATCCAAATAATAGAATACTATATCAACTTAAAAATAATATCTTTTTGTGTACCAATGTGAAAACATGTTCATTATGTGTTCAAGTAAAAAATCAGGTACCATATATTTTGTGTAGATAACATTTTTGTAAAAAAAGTTAAACATTTAATAGCTTATAATATAAAAATAGAATATAGAATTAAAACATAGATTAAGTTGCTAATAGTTGTTATCTCAGAAGGGTGGGAAACTGAGAAAAATTTTATGCTCATATTTTTCTATAATATTCATTTTAAAAATAAGAGTCATATATTACCTTTATGGTTAGAAAATAATGGTAAATTTTTTTTTAAGTACTGTTTTGTTTGTGTGACAGATTGTCTTTTCTTAGTTCTTAAGAGGCACATGGGAATTCCAGAACACAAAAGGAATATGTACTTTCTTTCTCTTTTCTCTTCCTCTTTTCCTATTTCTTTTAGTCTTCACTTAACCTGCTTTTGCTCCTGTCCCTTCTTTGTGCTTTCCAACTCTCTTAAGCCCTCAGCAACCAACCCACCTTCCCTTGTCTAATGCCTGAGTTAGTTTCCCTATAATTCCCTCTTTATCTTTCTTATATAAATGCACTTGTGTAGACCATCCTAAAGTTTAAAAAGCTTTCTCCATTGCAGTGGGCAGTAGGCTGCTTGATGGGTGAACAGAAGGGAAAGGGATTTTGGTATACGCTGCTCTACAACTGCATCTCCTTTATGGCATGGTTGTCTATTTTTTTCCCATCTGTAAAATAATAGAGTTGAATTAAATAATCTCTAAGGATCTTTCCCAAGCTAATATTCTATGATGACTTTAAGAGAATGTATTTATTTATGACTTTAAGGTTTTCTGGCTTTCTAACACTCTCACTGGCCAGAGGAGAAATATCTTTGTATCACATTTCTTAAAAACATGCTGACAGTGAGGTAGCACTGAGAGTCAGGAAATTCAAAGTCTTGACTTCGCTTTGACCTCATTTTGTGGCCTTGGACCATTCACTCTACTTCCCTGGGTCTCAGTTCCTTAGCTTAGCAGCGAGGGTATCTCTCTCTCTCCTTACTATAAGGAGAACTTTGGGGGTAGATGTGGGTATTGACCTGGCTTTCATCCTAAAGATGTGATAAGCATCAAATGGGCAAGCAGAGGTGAAACCACTTTTGTCAGCCTAGAGCAGGGTTTCTTAATCTTGGCAGTATTGTCATTTGGAGCCGGATAATTCTTTGCTGGAGGTTGTCCTTTGTATTGTAGGATGTTTAGCAGCGTCCATAGCCTCTACTTATTGAATGCCAGCAAGCTTACCCCATTCCCCCTGACTGTGACAACTAAAATTGTCTCCAAATATTGCCAAGTGTGCCCTGGAGTATACAATCAACCATGGTTGAGAACTGCAGCTGTGGAGTGATATGTAGAGACTTCAAGCATTGTTAATTATATAACTACTTTGAGAGGGAACAAATAAAAAGAAAAAAATCATGTAAGTGTAATTCCAGAGGGTGCCAGAGATGATGACTCCTGTGAGGAACAGAAGATAATACATGAGTGGAGACAGTGCCAAATACAGCATCATTTCTGGGCAGTCATATTTCCTGTGGGAACAATCTGTATCCTAAAGAAAGATGGAGAGATCAATCTTCTTGAGGAACCCTTCCCCCATGACCCAGGAGAGGAGGGTTTTATAGTTCTTGCCAACTCCTAGTTACAGATGCTGATGGGAGGGAGATCTCAAAGAAATATGAAGGATACAGCTTATTCAACAAGGTCAGAAATATATAGAATTGCATGGATGATAGGAAGCATTTACTCAACTCTCCCATTCAAGTGCCACACTGATCTGTCTAGTATTCTTTTTTTTCTTTATTTTTTATTTTTATTTTTTGAGACAGAGTCTCACTCTGTCATCCAGGCTGGATTGCAATGTGTAATCTTGGCTTACTGCAACCTCTGCTTCCCAGGTTCAAGTGATTCTCCTGCCTCAGCCTCCTGAGTAGCTAGGATTACAGGTGTGCACCACCATGCCTGGCAAATTTTTGTATTTTTGGTAGAGACGTGGTTTCACCATGTTGGTCAGGCTGGTCTTGAGCTCCTGGCCTCGTGATCCGCCCGCCTCAGCCTCCCAAAGTGCTGGGATTACAGTCATGAGCCACCGTGCCCGGCCCTGTCTAGAGTTCTTAATTCTATTAGCTACTTGACCTTGAGCAAATTACTGATTTTCTCTGAGCATTTGTTTCTTCCTTTCCTTTTTGATCCCAGAAGATTATCTATTTCATTAATAACATAAAAATAGTTATGAACAAGACTAATTATTATATTACCCAGAGTTCCATGTGCTTTATGTGTAGTACCTCATTTAGGCTTATAGCAGTCTAATACATCTTGATACAATCTTGTTTTAGAGACGAAGAAACTGAGGATGAAAAAGGTCTTAAACCCAGCTCTCTCTATCTCCAGAGCCCATGTTCTGGTCCACCACTCTAAATATCACTGCTTCACAGCAAAACACTTAACATGCAACACAACATTCTTCATTACTGTTGGTTGCTTATCTCTCTTTCTCATCTTCTAGACTGAACAACTAGAACCCAAGGGTTATGTCATATGCACTGTACTATTCTGAAGTTACCATACCTTAGGAATAAAAAAAACTAATGGTGGAATTTTACACACCAGGACCCAGCAGGGCAGCAGGAGGGCATGGAAAGAAATGAGACAGAAACATTGATCTTTTTAAGCAGCAAGTAACTAAAAGCTATTCATAGACTTATAAACTAGGATTAAGTGGAAACTGAGAAGTCATCTGTTTCCAGTGCTTTGAATTTTAATATAAGGAAAGGAAAGCATAGACAGGTTAGGTACTTGTTTATGCTCATACTGTGTTAGTTGCAGACCAGGGTTGAGACTGGACTCTGGCTTCCAGTTCAGTTTCCTTCCATTGTATCAGTGGGATGCCATGTAGTGTAATGGATTAGAGTGTACCATCTGAAGTCCTGTGACCTGGGCTGTGGACTGAGATCAGAGAAAACTTCTGTGACTTTCCTTTTCCTTACCTGTAAAAGGGAGTAACAATAGTTCCTATCTCAAAAGATTGTTATGAAAATTAAATGAGATACAGTGCAAAAAGTCTTAGCACAGATAAGGCACCTTACTATATGCCTATCATGTAGTAAAGTCTCAACAAATGTTAGCTATAATTCTTATTATTTAAAAAATAATTGTAGAGAGATTTCTGGCTAGATGTTTTTGTGTTTTTTTTCTTAGAATGCAACCTATGTTCTTTTAAAGCATTTTACATACAGTAAAATTTACTCTTTTTTGCATATAGTTCTAATGAGCTTTTGGCAAACACATGCAGTCACATAATCACCACCACAATCAAAATTCAGAACGGTTCCATCACCCCAAGAAATTACTACTTTTTTTGCCCTTCTAGTCAACCCCACATCTACTCTCAGACTTGGAAACCACTGATCTATTTTCTATTCTTGTAATTTCGCCCTTTTGAGAATGTCATTTAAATGGAACCATATACTATGTGGCCTTTTGAGTCTGTCTTCTTTCACTGAGTATACTATGTGAAATTTATCCACATTGTTTTACATGTATATGTGTTTATGTACGTGTGTTTGTGTGTGTGTATATCAGTATTTCTTTTCGTTTTATTGCTGAGTAGTATTCCATGGTATAGATATATCACAGTTTGTTCATCCATTCAGCAGCTGAAGGATATTTGTGTTGTTTGCAGTGTGGTGTGATGATGAATAAAGCTTCCATAAACATGTGAAAGGTTTTAGGTGACTATAAGTCGCCATGTCACTCAGTGAATATCTAGGAGTATGATTGCTGTGTTGTATGATAAATGCATGTTTATTTTATAAGGAACTGCCAAACTGTTTTCCAAAGTGACTGTAACATTTTACAATTCTTTCCAACATGTATGGGAATTATAATTTGTCCACTTTCTTGCTAGCACTTGGTATGGTCAGTCTTAAATTTTGGCCTTTCATAGAGGTGTTATCTCACTGGAGCTTTAATTTGAATTTTCCTGATGATTAATGTTGTTGAACATTTTTTTGCTTTTTTGCTTGCTTATTTGCCATTGATATATATTTGATGACGTATGCATCCAAACCTTTTGCCCTTTTTTTTTATTGGGTTATTCATCTTTTTAGTATCAAATTTTGAGAATTCTTTGTGTGCTCTAGATACAAGTCCTTTGTTAGATATGTATTTTGCTAATATTTTATCCCAGGTTGTGGTTTATCTTTTCACTCTCTGAACAGTGTTTTTTTGTGAAGTAGAACTTTTGAATTTTGGATTAGATTTGAATGAAATCCAGTTTTCACCTTTTCTTTGATAGATCATGGTTAAGGTGTTGTGTCGAAGAAATCTTTGCCTAATCTAAAATTGTAGAGATTTTATCCTATGTTTTATCTTAGAAGTTTTATAGTTTTAAGTTTAACATTTATGTGTATAATACATTTTGACTCAATTTTTATAAGGGATGGGAAGGATGAGTTGAGAATTTTTTGGCATATAGATATTTAGATATTATTTTCATAATGCTAGTTACAATGTAAGCAACGTAATGCTATTACAATGGATGCAGCTGCTGTGGCCGATATATCACTCGTCAGTATCTTAGGGGGATTGATGATTTCTACTACTGTAATTGTGATTATAATTATGATTATCCATCTGTTTGTCCATCGTCTTTTCTCTCAACAAATGATG